CAACAGGAGGAGCAGCAGGAGCAGCAACACCCGGAGCAGCAACACCAGGAGCAGCAGCAGCAGCAGCAGCAGCTAGAAGCGCAGCTAGAGGAAATGAGGGAGACACACAACTTGCTGCTGTCGCGATCAGAGACAGTCATGCTGCACCTACAGGAGATAACCCGTCAGTATACGTTGCTGCAGCAGCAGCACGAGGAGCTGCAGCAGCAGCACGAGGGACTGCAGCAGCAGCATGAGCAGCTGCAGCAGGAACGTGGACAACTGCAGCAGCAACACGAACAGTTGCAGATGCAACATAGGCAGCAGCAGCAGCAACAGCAGAAAGTTGATGAACAGCTGCAGGCAGACACGCAGCAGCAAATAAAGACTCACGAGCAGCAGCAGCAGCAGCAGCAGCAGCTGGCTGAGCGGGAGGCGGTGTTGCAGCAGCAGATGAAGGAGCTGGAGCAGCAGCGCACACAACTGCAGCAGCAGCAGGCGGAGCTGCAGCAGCAAGAACAGGAACTAAGGAGACAGCAAACACTGCTGCAGGAGCAAGAGCAACGAGAGGGAAAGAAGGAGCAGCAACTGCAGCAGCAGCAGCAAGAGCTTGACAAGCAGCGCCAAGTGCTGCAGCAGCAAGAAGCAGAACAGAAACAGCTGCAGCAGCACATTGCTGCTACAGAAGGTCAGAAAGCAGCGCAGCAAGAGCAGCAGCAGCAGCAACTGCAGCAGCTCGAAGCGCAACTAGAAGCACAGCAGCAGCTGGTACAGCAGCAGCAGCGGCTGCTAAATCAACAGGAGCAGCAGCTACAGCAGCAGGAGCAGCAGTTACAGCAGCAGGAACGGCAGCTGCAGCAGCAAGAGCAGGAGCTGCTGCAGCGAGACTCCGCTGTGCAACAGCAAGAGCAGTACAGCAAGGAGAAGGAAATGTTGCTGCAGCAGGTGAGCCAGCAGCAGCAGCAACTGCAGCAGCAGGGTCAGCTCCTGCAGCAGCAAGAGGTACAGCTGCAGCAGCAAGAAGACCAGCTGCAGCAGCAAGAGCAGCAGCTGCAGCTGCTTGAGCAGCAGTTACAGGAGCAGGATGAGGAGCTGGGTGAACATCTACGGCAGCAGCAGCAGCAGAAGCAGCAGCAGCAGCAGCAGCAGCTGCCAGAATCACTGTCAGGAAAAGAAGGTTTGCTGCAGCAGCTGCAGCAGCTGCAGCAGCAAAATGTGCAGCTGCAGCAGGACGTTAAATCGCTGCAGCAGCAGCTGGAGGCGAACGGTGCAGCACAGGAGCTGCTGCTGCGTAAGGCAGAGGAGCAGCAGCAGCAGCTAAAAGCAGCAGCAGAGGAGAAGGCTGGTTTGCTGCAGCGTGCTGCTGCACTAGAGCAAGCAGCAGCAGCAACAGCAACAGCAGCAACAGCAGAAGCAGAAGCATTGAGAGGAAAGTGCGAGGAGCTGTCTATACAGCTGAGAGACGCAGAGGAGAATGCAGCAGCAGCAGCAGATGGGGAGCAGCAGCTGCAGCAGGAAGTGCAGCAAATGCAGCAAGAACTTGCTGCACTAACAGAGAGACTAGCAACTACACAAAGACAAGAACTAGAGCAGCTGCAGCAGCAGCTGCAGCAGACTGGTGCTGCTGCTGAGTCAGCAGCAACAGCAGCACAGTTTACCCGCATGCGCCAGGTGATGGATCTGCAGCAGCTGCAGCTGCAGCAGCTGCAGCAACAACTGCAGCAGCAGCAGCAAGTTATAGACGAGCTCCATGAGCAGCAGCAAGAAAGGGAAAAGGAAGCAGCACGGCGCGTCAGACAGAGCGAGGAGCAGCAGCAGCGGCTGCTGCTGCAGCTGCAGCAGGAGAGAGAACGTAATGCAACAGCAGCAGAGCAGCAGCTGCTGCTGCAGCAAGAGTATCATAAGGAAGCACAAAGTCTTAGGCATTCGCTGTCTAATAAGGAGGAGCTGCTGCTGCAGCAGAAGGAGGAGCAGCAACAGTTGCTGCAGCAGCAGGAGCAGCAGCTGCTGCAGCTGCAGCAGCAAACTACAGAGCTACGTCACACTCTGCAGCAGCAGGAAAAAAACACCAAGCTGCTGCAGCAGCGGTTGCAGGAGCAGCAGCAGGATGCAAAGGAAGCTCGTGCTGCAGCAAGACAGCTAGAGGAGATATGCATGCAGCTAAAGACACAACTGCAGCAGCAAACAGCAGAATTCGAGCAGCTGCAGCAGCAGCATAGTAGTCTGCTGCAGCAGCACCAGCGTCAGTCCACTGAGCTCGAGGAAATGCAGCAGCAGCATCTGCAGCAACAGCAGCAACTGCAGCAGCAACTGCAGCAGCAGCTGCAGCAGTCCACCAGCGAACTCGCAAGTCTCCAGTCGTTGGCAGACACAGCGGAGCAGCGCGCTGCGGTGTCGCTGCTGGAGCAGCAACAGGAAGCAGCAGCAGAGCAGCAGCAGAAGCAGCAGCAACCAGCTGCAGCTCCTGGTGAGGCACAACAGCAGGAGCAGCAGCAGCAAGAGGAGCAGCAAGATGCCTCTCATATGGATGGTGAGGAGCAGCAGCAGCAACAGCTGCGGCGGCAGCGGACTATGGAGAAGCAGCTGCAGCATGTGCAGCAGCTGTACACGCAGCTGCAGGAGGAGTTTGCTGCAGCGCAGCAGCAGCAGCAGCAACTGCAGCAGCTGTACGACCGTCAGTCTCGTGACTTTGTTAATGCAGTGCGCAGAGCCGGGAAGGCAGAGGAGGAGCTGTCTCTGCTGCAGCAGCAGCTAGAGGCTAGACAGAGACGCAGCAGCACTGCGCAGCAGCAGCAGCATGAGCAGCAGCAGCAGCAGCAGCAGGTACACGAAATGGAGCTCAAGGCTGTTAAGTTAGAGCTGCGCAGCAGCCAAGCAGAAGCAGCAGAGATAGGGGAGAAGCTGGTAACGACGCAGCAGCAGCTGCAGCAGCTGCAGCAGGAGCTGCAGCAGCAGCTAGATCGCGAACGCGCTGCAGCAGCGCAGCAGCTGCAGCGTAAGACCGAGCAGCTAAAAGCAGAGCAGCAGCAGAATCAGCAACTGCAGCAGCAAGTGGCAGCAGCCCAGCTTGAGAAGCAGCAGCTGCAGTTGCTGCTGCAGCAGGAACGTAACTCCCTTGAGGAGCTGCAGCAGCAGCATGCAGCAGCAGGAGACCAGAAGGCGGTGTTATCTGCTGAGGCGGAGGGTCTAAGACAGCAACTGCAGCAGCAGAAGCAGCTACATCAGCAGCAGCAGCAGCAGCAAGAGGCAGTGCTGCAGCAGCTGCAGCAGCTGCAGCTTCAAGCTGCTGCAGAAGGGGAGGAGCTGCAGAAGCGCCACCTAGAGCAGCAGCAGCTGCTGCAGCAATCCCTGCAGCAGGCGCAGCAGGCGGAAGCAGAGAGCCGTATAGCGCTGCAGCAGGAAGTATCTCGTTTGCAGCAGCAGCAGCAGCAATTGTTGCAGCAGCAGCAGCAGCATGCTGCAGCACGTGAGCAGCGTCAACAAGCCCGTGAACAGCAACTAATACAAGAAGCAGCAGACCTGCAGCAGCAGCAGGAGCTGCTGCAGCAGGAGCTGCAGCAATCGGAAGCAAAAAGCAGCGAGCTTGCTGCACAACTACAAGAAGCAGAGAACAGGCTGCATCTGCTTGCAGCAGAAGCAGAGAGGCAGCACGTAGAGCTGCAGCAGAAGGCAGTAGATCTACGCATGCAGCTAGATGCTGCAGTACGTGCAGCAGCAACAGCAAAAGAGCAGCAGCAACAGCAGCAAAAGGTTGCTGACCAACTACGTCAACGACTGCAACAGCAGCAGGAACAGCAGCAGAAAGACGCAGAAACTTATGCAAACAAGACACAACAGCAGCAGCAGCAGCATGAGCAGCTACTGCAGCAGCAGCAAGAGGCGCAGAGCCAACTGCAGCAGCAGCAGCAGAAAATTGACCTTATGCTGCAGCAGCAAGGAGAACTCACCAAGTCCCTTTCTGAGACACAGGAACGCAGCAGCAAAGAGCAGCAGCAGCTGCTGCTGCTGCAACGGGAAAACAGGAAGCTGCAGCAGCAGCTTGATGAGGCTTCTGCTGCTCTGGAGACCCGTGCTGCTGTTGCTGCAGAGCAGCAGCAGCATCTTGCTGCTCAGCTAAGGCAACAGGAGACACTAGCAGCGCAGCAAACAACTCTTCTAGAGGAGCATCAGCAGCAGGAAGCCTTGCTGCTGCAGCGGCTGCAGCAGCAGGAGGAGCTGCAGAAGCAGCACACCGAGCAGCAGAAACAAGCCCAGCTGTTGACGGGGGAGCAGCAACGGCAGGCACAGCAGTTGCTGCAGCAGCTGAAGCAGCAGCAGCAGACGGTGCAACAGCAGCAGAAGCAAATCCAGAAGCAGCAGCAGCAACTGCAACAGCTGCAGGCACAAGTACAAGAGGGTTTGTTGCAGTCAGAGGAGCAGCAGAAGCAGCTGCAGCAACAACAGCAGCAGCTGCAGCAACAGCAGCAGAAAATAAAACTCCAAGAGCAGCAGCTAGAGGAGCAGCAGCGGCAAGCAGCACAACGAGAGCAGCAGCAGCAGGAGTTGCTGCTGCAGAGCCGCAGCGAGCATCAGCGTGTTACTGCAGCAGAAACAGAGGCAAGGCAGCAACTGAAGAAGCAGCAGCAGCAGATGGAGTTACAGCAGCAGCAGCATGCTGCTGAGGTCGAGCAGCAACAGCAGCAGCAGGCAGAAGCACAGCAGCAGCGTCTGCTGCTTGAAGAACGGCTGCAGCAGATGACAGAAGCAGCAGCGCAGCAAAGCGCAGAGCTGCAGCAGCTGCTGCAGTCACAGTCCCGTGCTGCAGCAGCAATGGAGTCCATGCAGGAGCAGCGGCAGCAGCTGCAGCAGCAGCTGCAGGAGCTGCAGCAGGACAAAGAGCATCAACAGCAGCAAGCTGCTGCTGCTCTTGCTGCAACAGAGGCCGAGCTTGCTGCAGCAAAACAAGAAATTACCTTGAAGGAAGAGGCGCAGCAGCTGCAGCAGCAGCAGGTGCAGCAACTGCAGCAAATGCTGAATGACATGCAGGAGGGTCGTGCTGCTGCAGAGACAGAGCTTGCTGCATCGAAGCACCGCGAGGAGACAGCAGAGAGGCAGCAACAGCAGCAGCAGCAATTGTTGCAGCAGCAGCAGCAGCAGTTAGATAGACAGCGCCAGCTAGCTAACACCAGGTACGAAGAGAATCTGTCGCTGCAGAGACAGCTGCAGCAGCAGAAGGCTGCAGCAGCAAAGCAGCTGCAGCAGCAGAAGACAGAAGCTGAGCAGCGCCACACGCAGCAAGTGCAGCAGCTAGGGAAGCAGCTAGAGGAGCTACAGCAGCAATGCATGCAGCTAAGAGAAGGGAAGAAGGAGCAGCAGCGGTCGTTGGAGGCAAGGGAGAAGCTGCTGCAGCAGCAGGTGCAGCAGGTGCAGCAAGAACTGCAACAGCAGCAGCAGCGTGCTGCAGATCTCTCTGCGCAGGCCGAGGAAGCAGCAGCAACAGCAGCAGCACAAGAGAAGGAACTGCAGCAACTGCAGCAAGCATACGAAGCAGCACTCAATAGGGCGGAGGAGCTGCAGCATAGATTGCAGCAGCTAGAGAAGCAGCTGCAGCTAGCTGAGCAGCAGCAGCAGGTACAGCAGCAGCAGCAAGAACAGGAGCAGCGTAGCCTTACAGAGGAGTTATGCATGCATAGACAAGCAGCAGCAAGTGCTGAGCAGAGGAGAGACGATCTGTATAGTCAGCTGCAGCAGCTGAGGCAGCAGCAGCAGCAGCAGCAGACCGAGCTACGTATCCTAGCAGCAGAGAAGCAGGAGCTGCTGCAGCAAGTAAGAGAAGCAACAGAGGCACAAGATAATCTAAGTACGCAGCTATCAGCAGCAGAAGCAGCAGCAAATCTGCTGCAGCAGCAGAATAAGCAGCTAGAGGAGCAGCTAGAGCAGCTTCCTGCCTTACAAGAAGCAGCACAGCAGCGACAGTTGCTGCAGCAGCAGCAGCAGCAGTACCTGACGCAGCAGCGGCAGCAGCAGCAGCAGCTACGAGCAGAAAAGGATAAGCTAGAGCAAGAAGGGAGAGCACTAAGGAGACAGCTGCGTCTGCAGGAGCAGCAGATTGCATCGCTGCAGCAGCAGATGCAAGCAGCAGAGACAGTTGCTGCAGCAAGAGAAGAGCAGCAAGAGCAGCAACTTGCTTCGCAGCAACTGCAGCTTGAGGAACTCGAGAGACTGCAGCAGCAGCAGCAGCAGGAGAAGCAGCAAATACGCGAGCAGCTGCAGCAAGCGCAGCAAACTGTTAGGGATAATGAGCGTCTTATACAAGGTCTTAGCAGCGAGAGGGAGCAGCTGCAGCAGCAGATGCAGCAGCAGCTGCAGCTGCAGCAACTGGATAACAGTAGGCAGCAGCTTACAGGTGCAGTACAGGTGCAGCAGCAACTGCAGCAGCTGCAGCAAGCAGCAACTGCAGCAGAGAAGGAGCTGGCCAAGGTAACAAGACAGCGGGACTCTCTTGAGGCAGCAAAGCAGCAGCAGCAGCAGCAGATGCAGGGTCATGTTGGCCGCCTCGAGCAGCAGGTGAAGCAGCAGCAGCTGCTGCTGCAGCAGCTGAAGCTTGAGCTGCAGCAGAAGGAGCAGCAGTGTGAAGAAATGGAGACCCGTCTGCAGCAGCAGCAACAACAATGGCAGCAGCAGCAGCAAGACTGGGAGGAGTCGCAGCAGCAGCTGCAGCAGCAGCTGCAGCTTGCTGCTGCAGACCGCGAGAAGCTGCAGCAGGAAAAGGAGCTGCTGGAGGCAGGAGGGCAGCAAACAGAAGGAGCTGTGCTGCAGCAATCACGAATGTTCGAGGACCAGCAGCAGCAGCACCAGCAGCTGCTGCAGCAGCAGCGGCAGCTTAGTGAGCTGCAGCACCAAATGCGCATGCAGCAAATGCAGCAGCAGCAGCAGCAGCGCGAAGCTGCCTATTGGACAGCACGTGCGGAGACAGCTGAGCAGCAGCTAGCAGGCAAGAGGCAGCAGCTGGTTGAGTTGCAGCAGCAACTGCAGCAGCAGCGGCACCAATACCAGCTGCTACAGCAGCAGCAGCAGATAGAGAAGCAGCAACTCAGTGAGGAGTTAACGGTGAGTCGCCTGCAGCTGGATGCGGAGTCTGTGGCGCAGCAGCAGCTGCTGCTGCAGCAGCAGCAAGCAGCAGCAGCAGCAGAGGAGATAGGTCTCCTCCAAGATCGTCTTGCTGCAGAGACAGCCCGTGCTGCTCAATTCAGTGCAGAAGCAGAGAAGCTGCAGCAGCTGCTGCTGCAGCAGCAGCAAGAAGCAGCAAGAGTGTCAGCTCGTCTTGCTGCTGTAGAGTCCAAGTATACAACACTGGCAGACTTTCAGCAGCGGCAGCAGCAGCTGCTGCAGGAGCAGCAGCAGAGGCTGTTACGACAACAGCAGCAGCAGCAGCAGCCGGTGCAGCAGCAACAGCAGCAGCCAGAATCAGGATCTTCTGTTGCTGCAGCTCTGCGTGGGGAAGTTGATGGTCTGCGCTCTATGCTGCGTGCAGCGCAGCACAGCAACGCAGAAGCGCTGCAGCAGCAGCAGCAGCTGCTGCTGCAGCAGCGGGAGGATGCAGCAAAACTTAATGAGGCACTAGCGCAGCTGCAGCAGCAAGAAGCACTGGCGCAGAGGGAGCAGAGAAAAGCACAAAGACTGCAGCAGCAGCTGGAGCTGCAGCAGCAAGACATGCAGCGTCTGCAGCAGATTGCAGGTGAGTTCGAGACTTATGCTCGAGACTTGCTGCTGCAGCAGCAGCAGCAGCACCAGCAGCAGCAGCAGCAGCACCAGCAGCAAGTATTCTCTCTTAGCCAACGAGGAGCTATGGAGAGCGACCTTGGTGTCCTTACGGATACAGTTAAGGAGTTGCTGGCACGAATAGAGCAGCAGCAGCAAATGCTGCAGCAGCAACATTTCCTACTAGAGGAATCACGCATGCAACAGCAGCAGCAACTGCAAGAGTCGCGCATGCAGCAACAGCAGCAGCAGCAGCAAGATCTGAACGACAGCACTGCAGCAGCATCCCTCTCTGCAGTAGAGACGGTCCTGCAGCGGCGATGCAGGGAGCAGCAGCAGCAGCTGTTGCTGCTGCAGCAGCAGCTGCGTCAAGCGGACGAGGAGGTTGCATTGTTGCGGCAGCAGCAGCAGCAACAAGTCCTAGGCACAAGTGGTTTAGGGGAGCAGCAGCAGCAGCAGCAGCAGTTGCTGCAGCTGCAGCTTGATGTAGCAAACCTGCGGAGACAGCTGGGCAGAGAGCAGCAGCTAAAGGCAGCAGAAGCAGCAGAAGCATCAGGGCTGAGGGAGCAGCTGCATGCGCTGCGTCGTCGTCAGCAGCAGCAGCAAGCAGCAGCCCTTGAGCAGCAGGAAGCCCTTGCTGCAGCAAATGCCCGCGAGAGGCAGACACAGCTCGTGCTGCACCACGAGCAGCAGCAGCGGCAGCAGCTCGAGCTGCTGCTGAGGAACGTAGAGAGCAGCGGGGAAGCAGAGAGACTTACGCTGCAGCAGCAGCTGCAGCTGCTTGATGGTCGTTGCCAGTTGCTGCAGGAGGAGGCTGCGCTGCAGCAGCAGGAGTTTGCTGCTGCTCAGCAGCAGCAACAAGAGCAGCAGCAGCAGCAGCAAGAGCAGCAGCAGCTGCTTCAACAGTACAAAGACACTGCAGAAGACGCCATGCGCCGGGTGCAGCTGCTGCAGCAAGAACAGCAGCTGCTGCAGCAGGAGCAGCAGCTGCTGCAGCGTCGGGCAGAAGCAGCAGAATCGGCTCGCGATGCTGCAGTGCAGCAGCAGGCTGCTGCTGTTGCTGACGCGCAGATAAAACAGCAGCAGCTGCAGCAAGAAGCACAGATACAGGAGCAGCAGCAGCAGCAGCAAATTGCTTCCTTAAGCGAAGCACTGCAGGCAGCACAATTCTCTCTTGAGCGTGCAAATGATTCTCTTGCTGCAGTGCAGCAGCGGGAAGCAGCACTGCAGCTGCAACTGCAGCAGCAGCAGCAGCAGCAACAGCTGCTGCTGGCATCCGGAGGAGGGCCCATCACGGTGTCTCAACAGCACCGGCGGCCGCAGCAGCAGGAGCAGCAGCAAATAGCTAGGCTGCAGGAGCTGCTGCAGCAATCCAACGCAGCAAAGAATAAACAAATGGAGACTGTGCTGCAGCAGCAGCGGGAGCTGCTGCAGCTGCGGCAGCAGCTGCGTGTCTCCGCGCAGCAGCAAGAGCAGCTAGAAGCTAGCGAGGAGCGGCTTGCTGCTGCATGCGATGCTGCATTTGCTCAACAGAAAGAGCAGCAGCAGCAACTGCAGCAGCTGCAGCAGACATGCGCGGAGCTGCAGCAGCAAATCAGCAGCACAGCAAGTCTTGCAGGTAGCCAGAGATCCGTGCTGCAGCAGGAAGCGTCTTTGCTGCGGGAGACGCTGCTGCGGCTGCAGCAGCAGCTACACGGAAGCGAGCTGCAGCGGGTGTCTGTGCAGCAGCTACTAGCTCGCCAGCAGCAGCGGCAGCAGCAACTGCAGCCAAATGCTGCTGTACTGCAGCAGCGCTGCAACGACTACCGCATACAGCTGCAGGCAGCAGAGCAGCAGCTGCAGCGGGCATGGCAGGAGAGTAACGAGCTGCGTAAGCAGCTGCAGCAGCAGCAAGATGTTGCAATGCAGCAGCAGCTGCTGCACCAGTCACGTCGTGAGCATAGAAGGGAGCAGCAGCTGCTGCAGCAGCAACTGCTGCAGCAGCTAAGAGAGGAGACCGAGGCGCTGCGCTTGCGGCTACGGGAGATCGAGGCGCAGCAGGACGAGCAGCAGCTAAGTTTTGCTGCAGTAGAGCAGGAGAAGGAGGTGCTGCAGGGTCGTCTGCTGCAGCAGCAGCTGCAGGGAGACCACCAGCAGCAGCAGCTGCAACAAGCTGAGTTACTTCTGCAGCAACACCAGGCAGCAAAAGAAGCAGCAGAAGCAGAGTGTGAGCGTCTTCTGGCTCGTTACAAGGCACTGCAGCAGCAACAGCAGCAGCAGCAGCAGGAGCTGCAGCAGCAGCAGCAGCAACTCGAGCAGGCCCAGGAGGAAGCAAAGGCTGTTGGTGATCGTTGTCAAGTACTAGAGGCAGAACTTGCATCAGCAGAGAGGCAGAGCAGCAACAACAGCAGCGTGCTGCAGCAGCAGCTGCAGCAGCAAGGAAGTCTGCTGCAGCAGCAAAGGGAAGCAACACTGGACCTGCAGCAGAAGTGCCTAGACTTAGAGCAGCAGCTGCGGCGCAAGACAGAAGCAGAGCAGCACCATCGCCAGACGCTGCAGCAGCTGCAGCAGCAGCAGCAACAGCAGAGGCAGCTTCTGCGGCAGACACGAGCAGGTGTTGAGGAAGAGCTGCTGCAGCACCAGAGAACAGCAGCAAGACTGCAGCGGGAGCTGGAGCAGCAGCAGCGGCTGCTGCGCGATGCGCAGCAAAAGGAGGGAGCCAGGGCAGCAGAAGTGTCGAGCCTGCAGCAGCAGCTAAAGCGAGCAACGGAGAGTCAGCAGCAGCAAGAGCAGCAGCAACAGCAGCAGCAGCAGCAAATCGAGCTGCTGCAAGCAGAACTGCTGCAGCGCCAACAGGATATTGTAGCAGCAGAAGGACAGGTCAAGCAGCTAAGCGAGAAGCTAGCAGCAGCACAGCAGCAGGTTGCTGCGAAGGAGCAGCAGCAGCAGCATGAGCTGCAGAGGGAGCAACAGAAGCAGCAGCAGCAGCAGCAAGAGTTGCAGAAGCTGCGTCTGGTGGAGCAGCAGCACGCGAGAGCCCAAGAGGAGCTTGCTGCTGCTGTTGAGGCATTGCATGCAACACAGCGACGCGAGCTGCAGCAGCAGCGGCTGCTGCAGCAGCTGCAGCAGCAGCTGCAGACTGTAGACGTCTCTGAGAGGGGCCTCAAGGATTCACGTGACCAGTGGTCCACTCGCTGCGCTGCACTGACGGAGGAGCTGCAGGCAGCAGCAAGCGAGCTGCAGCAGGCTCGTGCTGCTGCTGCAGAAGCTCAACAGAAGCTGCAGCACGAGCAGCAGCAACACGAAGCCATGCTGCAGCTGCAGCAGCAAGCTACAGAGACAGAGCAGCAGCACGTGCTGCGCCTAACAGAGGAGCAGCAGCGGCTGGAGACAGAGGTTGATGGGGTGTACAGTGAGCTGCTGCTGCAGCAGCAGCGCTGCAAGGAGGTAGAGTTGCTGCTGATGCAGGCGGAGACACGACAGAAGGAAGCACAGCAGCAACAGAAGAAGCAGCAGCAGGAAGCTGAGCAGCTGCAGCAGCAGCTACGTGAAGCAGAGCTGCTGCTGCAGCAGGAGCAGCAGGCACATAAGGAGACGCAGCAGAAGCAGCAGCAGCTAGAGCAGCGCCTAGAAGCAGCAGCAGATGAGGAGGACCTCTTCCGTAGCCTGCAGCAGCGGCAGCAGCGGGACCATGAGGCCCTTGCAGAGCAGCAGCAAGAGCAGGTGCAGCAGCTGCAGCAGCAGCTTGCTTCTGCTAGAGCCGCAGCGCAGCAAATGCAGCAAGAGCAGCTAGAGGACAGAAAGTTAGTGAGGCAGCAGCAGCAGCAAATTGCTGTGCTGCAGCGGACTCTGAATAGGACAGAAGAGAAGGAGCAGCAGCAGCAACGGCAGCAGCAGGAGCAGCAGAGAAACTTCCATCAGGAGCAGCAGCGACTGCTATCTCAGGTGCAGCAGCTGCAGCAGCAGCTGCAGCAAGAGAAGAATGTGCGGCAGCAGCAGCAGCAGAAGATTGCTGCGCTGCAGGGGACAGCCAGCAGCAGGGAGAGAGAAGATTCTGCTGCCTTAGAGCATGCAGAGCAGGAGCAGCAGCTGCTGCGGCAGCAGCTGCAGCAAGTGCAGCAGGAAGCAGATAATCGCATGCAGCAGCTACTAGATGCAACAAAGGAGAGGACGCTGCTGCTGCATGCAGTAGAGGACCTAGAGAAGCAGCTAGCTGAGCAGACAGCAGAATCAGAGCAGCTGCAGCGCCGTGCTGCAGTGCAGCAGCAGGAGCTGCAGTCGCTGCAGGCTCAAGTAAGGCAGCAGCAGCAAACAGCAAATGAGCTGCAGCAGCTGCAGCAGCAGCACGAGGTGGCTCTTAAGGACTTGCGGGATGCACAGCAGCAACTCAAGCAGCAGAAGCTGCTGCTAGGCCGTCAAGAGAGGGAGCTGGAGCAGCAGCAACAGCAGCAGCAAGTGCAGCAACGGCAGCTGCAGCAGCAGCAACGATCGCTGCAGCAACAACTGCATACAGCAGAAAGCACTATCCATGGGGATGAGGAAGGAGCAGCAGCAGCTCGTAATAAACTGCAACAAGCACAGCAGCAGCTGCAGCAGGTGCAGCAGCAGCAACAGCAGCAAGACCTGCAGCATCGGCAGCAGCTGCAGCAGCTAGAGGAGCAGCACCATGACATGCAGCAGCAGCATAATCGCTCTATGCAAGAAAATGCTGCCCTAAGGAGACAGCACGAGTTGCTGCAGCAGCAGCTAGAGACAGAGCAGCAGAAGGTGCAGCTGCTGCAGCAGCAGCTGCAGCAGCAGCAGCAGCATCTGCTGCGTAATAGTAGAGGAGATGCTGCAGCAATGGAGCTGCAGCAGCTACGTCAGGAGACACAGGAGCTGCAGCTGCAGCAGCTAGCAGCAAACAGCAAGATACGCTCGCTGCAGCAGCTGCTGCAGCACAGAGGTGTAGAGCTAGCAGACACGCTGCAGCAGCTGCAGCAGCAAGCACAGGAGACAGAGCAGCAGCTGCTTGCTGTTGGGGACCTAACAGTACAGCTGCAGCAAGCGCAGCAGCAGCAGGAGCTGCTGCAGCAGCAACTTGAGCAAGAGCAGCAGCAATCACAAGACATGCGTCGCCGTCTGCTGCAGCAAGCAGCAGCAAGAGGAGATGCAGCAGCAGAGTCTTCTCTGTTGCCAATAGGACAGCAACATAAGCTGCAGCAGCAGCTAGCAGCAGCAGAGGAGAGAATAAGACAACTGCAGCAGCAACTGCAGCAACAGCAGCAGCAGCAGGCGGACGTCCTCGAGGCTTCCTTAGAGGGCCGCGCGCTGCAGCAGCAACTGCAGCAGCTAGCAGAGAAGGCAGTGCAGCACAAGACAGAGCGCGTCGAACTGCAGCAGGAGCTGCAGCAGCAAGCAGAGCGTCTACGTAATCTTAATAGGGAGAATCATACTCTCCTGCTGCAGAAGGAAAAAGCAGAGGTGCAGCAGCAGCAGCAGCAACAGCAGCAGCAACAGCAGCAGCAGCAGCAGCAGGTAGATATAATATTATTTATAGGGTTTATTTTATTAATGTTTTGTGTGTTTGCTGTTTGCTGCTGCAGGCAGAAGCTGCTGCTGCGCTGCGGGAGGCTCGTGCTGCAGCAGGACTGCAGCAGCAGGTAGCAGAGATGACAGCAGCACAGCATCTGCAGCAACAGCAGCAAGAAGAGCTGCAGCAGGATCTAGAATGTTACCGTGCGCTGTCTAGGCAGCTAGCAGCAGAGACACGAATATTTGCAAGAAGAGCAGCAGCAGCAGATTGGCAGCAGCAGCAGCAACTGCAGCAAATGCAGCAACATCCAGCAGCAGCACACAAAAACCCTAAACAAAAACTGCGCTATGTAGATGTTATACAATCACAGGTTAGTCACCAGCAGCAGCAGCAGCAGCAGCAGCAGCAGCAGCAGCAGCAGCAGCAGCAGCAACTGTAGCTTCCTCTATATTTACCCACCCTACCCCACCACCACCAGCACCACCAGCACCAGCAGCAGCAGCAGCAGCAGCAATAATAATAATAATAATAATAATAATAATAATAATAATAATAATAATAATAATAATAATAATAATAATATATTATTTATGTATGCATGCAGCTGCAGCAACAAAGAGAGAAATGTATTTCCTTAGAGAAAGAAGTATTATATTTACGCATGCAAATAAGAATACTTTCTCCTCTTAGGTGTCTCCTTAATAATAATAATTATATTTATAATAATAAATGTATGTTTATTTATTTTATTTATTTATTTATTTATTTGTTTATTTATTTATTTATTTATTTATTTATTTTATTTATTTATTTATTTTTTTTTTTGTCTCTTTTTATGTATATCCTTAATAATATATAAATAAAAAAGAATATAAATAAATATAAATATATATTTATATATAATAAATAAATATAAATAAATATAAATATATATTTATATTTATTTATATAATAAATAAATATAAATATATATAAATATATTTATATAATTAATTGTCTCCTTTTTTTGTCCCCTTTTTCTTTATATTTATTTATATAATAATTTGCTGTTACCTGCTGCTGCTGCTTGTGCAGCTGCTGCTGCTGCAGGTCCTGCTGCTGCTGCTGCTGCTGCTGCAGCTGCAGCATCACAAGGAGGAGGAGGAGGAAGAAAAAGTTTATCTTTATCATTAGGTGTCTCCTTTCTTATAAATAAACAAAATAAAGGTGTCTCCTCTTCCTTGCTGCAGCAAAGTTACTCCTTCTTGCTGCAGCAGCTGCTGTCTCTCTTATTTATTATACAGGATGCATGCGGTGCAGCAATTAGCAACAAATTATTCAATCTATTACCCCGTAGGTCTCCTCCTCCTGCTGCTGCTGCTGCTGTTGCTGCTGTTTGCTGCTGCTTATGGTGTTGTTGTTTGCTGCTGCTGTTGTTGCAGGGATAAGGCTGCTGCTGCTCTTCCTGCTGCTGCTGCTGCAGTATCGGTGCAGCTGTTGCTGTATCCGTGCTGCTGCTGCATTGCCTGCTGTGCTGTTGTGCTGCTGCTGCTGCTGCTGCTGCTGAGTTACATTAAGAGTACTGTGTCTCCTTTTGCTGTCCCTGCAGATGTAGCACCAGTTCTTCGTGCTGCTGCTCTTCCTGCTGCTGATGATGAAGGTGCACATACACCGCAGCACCGTGCTGCAGCAGGAGCAGCAGCAGCAGCAGAAAGGCCCCTTACGTTAAGCCAGCTCGGTCCCGCCCCACCTAGCGAAGCAGCAGCAGCAGCAGCAGCAGCAGCAGCAGCAGCAACAGTTCCTCCAGATAAGGAAGTTATAGAGGCAATTGCTGCTGTTAAGGCGCTGCTGCGGCGGCATTTGCTGCAGCAGCCGCTGCTGCAGCAGCCGCTGCTGCTGCAGCAGTCTCTGCTGCAGCAGTCCCAGCAGCAGCAACAGCTGCAGCAGCAGCAGCAGCAGCAGCAGGTAGCAGCAGGCCGCAGCCAAGGAGGCTCCTACGGATTCTCCCGCTGCTCTTTGTCTCTTACTCCCTCTGTGTCTCCTAACAGCAGCACAGCAGCAGCAGATCAGGGTGTCTCCGTCAGCTCTTTCTACTATCAGCAGCAGCAGGAGCAGCAGCAGCAAGAGCTGCAGCAGCAGCAGCAAGAACTGCAGCAAGGAGAATTATATTTCCCCAATAAGCCAACAGGAGGCCCTGGTAGGCAGCACAGCAGCGGCTATCCTGATGGTACTGCAGCAACAGCAGCAGCAGGAGGTTCTGCTGCAGGTAGAGGTGCTCCTGCTGCTGCTGCTGCTGCTGCTGCAGCAGCAGCAGCAACAACAGGCAGCAACTATGGTAGTGCAACAGAAGGAGAGACTTCCTGTCTATCTGAGGTGTCTGTTGATTCTCTTGATGATGGTGTTATCTAAACCCCAAACCCTAAACCCTAAACCCTAAACCCTAAACCCTTTTTTGTTTGTTGTTAATATAAACCCTAAAAAGGGTTTAGTATTAGGGTTTAGGGTTTAGGGTTTAGCGCAATAATTATATTGCTGCTTACCCTACACTAAACCCTTTTTCTTTATTTTTAATTTTTTATTTATTTATCCTTGTATACGGTACACCTGAGGGTTTAGGGTTTAGGGTTTAGGGTTTAGTCTGAGGGGTTAGCAGCAGCAACAGCAGCAAGACCAGTAGATAAATGACAGCAGCACGAGTTACAAGAGCAGCAGCAGCAGCAGCAGCAGCAGCAGCAGCAGCAGCAGCAAGCGTGTCCTTATAACAGCAGCAACAGCAGGCATAGGAATACTTATATTGGGTCTATAGGCAGCAGCAGCAGCAGCTGCTGCTGCTGCTGCTGCTGCTGCTTATACACTAAGGAAGGGTTATATGAATAATTATTTATTTCTTCTCTTTTAATTTCTCTCTTGCTGCTGCTGCTGCTGCAGCAGCAGCAGCAGCAGCAGCAAGACACCATCTTGTTGTACAGCCACCATACACACCGCAGCAGGGCTTCCCCCCTCATTAACAATTTATTTATTTATTTATTTATTTAGTTATTTATTTATTTATTTATTTATTTTATTTATTTATTTACTTATTTATTTATTTACTTAATTTAATTTAATTTAATTAGTTAATCCAATAGACACCACCATCATCATAGGGGCCCCCTAACCAACGGGGGGCCCCCTGATGCCTGGGGGGCCCCAAGAAGACAGCATACTAATGGGGCCCATGGGGGCCCCTATACCCTCTTTTATTGTATATTTATTTATATAAATAAATACATTTAATTAGTATAATATTATATATATAAAAAATCCCCCTCCTATGAGTAACACCCTAAACCCTAAACCCTAAACCCTAATAACCCTAAACCCTAAACCCTAAACCCTAATAACCCTAAACCCTAAACCCTAAACCCTAATGGTGTATAATGGCGCCATGGCGCATGCAGACGGGGAGGACAAAGAGATTATTAGATATATATTGTGGGGCTTGCAGCTACCGCATGCAGACACCGCAAGCATACGCTTTGCTGCTGCAGCAGCAGCCAGAGATGCTGCTGTCGTCACTGCAGCAGCAGCATATGCAGCAAGATAAGAATATAACAGCAGCAGCAGCAAAAGCAAAAGCAACAGCAACTGCAGCAGCAGCAGCAGCAGCAGCAGCAGCAAGTCTTAAACCTACAAAAGCACAACTAAGACATGCACAGCCGCAGCAGCAGCACACAGCTGTTCTCTTCCCCCGTCGCTCTCGTGCTGCAGCAGCACTTTCCTTATACAAACAGCAGCAGCAGCAGCAGCAGCAGCAGCAGGAGGAAGATGGCGATCAGCAGCAACAGCAGCAGCAGCAGCAGGAGAAAGAACAAAAGAGATTATTATCATGTATAGATAGTAATATAAATAAAAATTATTCTTTTCTTCCTCTTGCTTCTGCTGCATCATTGCTGCAGCAGCAAGCAGCAACATTGCATGCAGCAATAGGAGGAAATCCTTTAATGTCTGCAACAAGGAAGCAACGAGGTGTATATACACCGCAGAGTCCTTCCTTTGCTGCTGCTAAATATATTAATTATGCAAATGTATCTTGTCCTAGGTGTGGACTAACAGGAAGATGGAAGGCACCTCACTATACACTCTAATTTGCTGCTACTGCTGCTGCTACTGCTGCTGCTCCTGCTCCTGCTGCTGCTGTAGATGGAGCAACAGCAGCAGCAGCAGCAGCAGCAGCTGCAGCAGCAGCAGATGGAGATAAAGAAGCAAAGGAATGTATCGTGTATGTAATTTGCTAATATACACAAATAGAAAAAACCTCATTATACTGTCTAAGCTGCTGCTGCTGCTGCTGCTGCTGCTGTTACTGCAGCAGCAGCAGCAGCAGCAGCAGCAGCAAGCAAATGTCTTATGACTAAATGGGACGTACCCAATTATACACTCTAATCTGCTGCTACTGCAGCAGCAACGGCAGCAGCACACGCTGCTTCTACTGCTGCAGTTGCTGCTGCTGCTGCTGCTGCTGCTGTTGCAGTTGCTGCAACTGCAGCAGCAGCAGCAACAGCAGCAGCCTGTTTGCGTTGTTTGCCTTTTTATATAAGAAACTTCATTTAAGTCCTTCTTTCTGAGGGTTTAGGGTTTAGGGTTTAGGGTTTAGTCATTTGCTGTTCGTAATGCTAGTTGCTGCTGCAGCAACTGCAGCAGATGCAGCAAATCGGGGTGTTTGTTAGAAGCAGCAGCAGCAAGAGCAGCAGCAGCACGTAGAATGTCCGAGGGCAGCAGAGGCAGCTGCTGCAGCAGCAGCTGCCGTGTCTGCAGCAGCAGATCTCCATAGTCCTGTCCTATCTGCAGCAGCAGCAAGACACACCAACGAAGACATTCACACCATTAGTGTTTAGGGTTTAGGGTTTAGGGTTTAGGGTTTAGGGTTTAGGGTTTAGGGTTTAGGGTTTACATGATAAAAGGTAGTGCATAAGGAAATAAGTTCCCTAGGGTTTAGGGTTTAGGGTTTAGGGGGTTTAGGGTTTAGGGTTTAGGGTTTACATGATAGAGGATAGTACATAGATTAATAAGTTCATGAGGGTTTAGGGTTTAGGGT